AAGATCATCCTGCTTGCTTTAGTAGAAAATTACAAGTATGTGCTGGCATGTAAGAAAAGTGATGCCCTAACTATTGCCCTCAAGCAACATATCTGGCAGGGGCTTATCCAAGAATACAAATGTCAGCCAGGATATCAGACAGCTGAAGAAGTGTTAGGGGAACATCAAGACTCCCACCAAAAAAACGATGGCCCATGAGAGGAGAGAGAAAGTAAAAGAGTGTCAGCCCACTTCTGAGTACCCACCTCCTGGAGAAGGCGATCTCCCAGCATGCTGCTGGAGCAGCTCTGCTTTCTGCAGATCCCTCCCGTAGAAGGGCCCGAAGCCACCCTGAAGCCCACAGTCCAAGAATTCTTTGCTGTTTCACATAGAGAATTGTGTGATGATGAGAAAGAATTCATACATTTTCCAGTATGTGAGGGGACCTTTCAACCCGAACCCTCATGTTCAACTGTCACAATAACAGCCAACAAAAATTACAGGAGCCAAACCTCTCAGGAAGCTGCTTAAAAAAATGTGTGAGGGCTCTAGCAGGTTTGGTTCAGTGGATAGAGCAGCAGCCTGCAGACTGAAGAGTCCTGGGATCATTCCGGTCAAGGACACATACCTGGGTTGTGGGCTCCATCCCACTGTGGGGCGTGCAGGAGGCAGCCGAACAATGATTCTCTCTCATCATTGATGTTTCTATCTCTCTCTCTCCCTTCGTCTCTTAAGTCAATAAAAATATATTTTAAAAAATTTTTAAAGAGCTTTAGAAAAATGCATAAGGAAGAACACCATGAACAAATGTCCATCTTACAGCAGCAGCTGATGCAAATGAATGAGGTGCATGTAGCCCAAATCCAGTAGATAGAGTGAGAAAGGGAAATAGCAGAGGTGTTCATTGAGATTAATGATTTTTATGGTCTATAGGATTTTCTTCCATCGTATTAATTTTGATAAATTATATTGACAGATTTTTTACTATTGACTTTACATTTCTAGAATAAGCCCAAGTTAGATGTGTCACTTTTTTTTCCTTATTTTTTTGCCAGTTTTATCAAATTTTTTTTTTTATCCTCACCCAGGGATATTTTCCCATTGATTTTTAGAGAGAGTGGAAGAGAGAAGGTATGACAGAAAGAAATATCGATATAAGAGAAACACATAGGTTGGTTGCCTCCTGCACGTGCCCTGACCAGGGCCCAGGCTGGGGAGGAGCCTGCAACCGAGGTACATGCCCTTGACCTGAATCGAACCAGGACCCTTCTGTCAGCAAGTTGGCATTCTATCTACTGAGCTAAACCAGCTAGGGCATCTCAATCAAGTTTTGCTATAAGGTTATGCAGAACTCAAAATAACTTAGGAAATATTTCTCTTTTTTTTTTCAACTGGAAAACTTTGAATATAATTGGCATGATTCTTTTATTAAATTACTATCAAAAGTAGTTTTAATTATAGTTTTGATAGGTAACAGTTAAAAGACAAATCAGATTTCCTCCTTTATCAGTTTTGAAAGTGCTATCAGAGATATAATTATAGATTATATTTTAAAACATTTATAGAATTACTTGCATTTTCTATTTTTCTCTTTGCCTATTTTTAGAATATGTATTTTGTATGTACATTTTGCTATTTTGGCTAAACGTTACTCATTATATATTGTCATGATTTTTCAATGTCTTCAGGAGTGTCAAGATATTATCTTTTCCATATTAATGTTGAGTTTTGATACATTCTCTGTTTTATACTTACCTGTTACATATCCTATCTGATAAAGAGGGAATATGCTAATTGACTGCCCCACCCTCAAAGATGGCAGCCCCCACAGCCACAAGATGGCGGCGCCCAGTATGCTAATTGACTGCCCCGTCAGATGGCAGCCCCCATAGCCAGCCACAAGATGGCGGCGCCCCCTCAGCCCCCTAGTTGCCGGCAGGGCATGCTCTGCGCACCCTACCTCCGGAGTCCCCCAGTCCCCTCAGCCCCCTAGTTTGCCAGGGCACAGGCAAGCCTTGGCTGTCAGCTGCCCAGCCACCCAGGGCCGGGCCTGGAGGTGGAAGGCAAGTTCTCAGAAGGTGGCTTGCCCAGCTTGATGCCCGAAGGCACAGCCAAGCCTCAGATGTCAGCTGCCCCAGCT